GACGATTGCTTTTGCAGAAACGCCGTTGCTACCAGCGACTAAACTGCATATTGAGCACTTTCGATGTTACGTCGGAAGACAGCAAGAAGCTCGGGAGAAAATATAACGCAGACTCTCTTAACCAAAAAAAGGAAAAGAAACTGCTTCATTTGTTTCCCCATAAATACAATCACTAGTCCGTCCCACGTCCAAAGTTGGGTGCGTAACGTTCTCAATTTCTGCAACTAATTCGACTCTCCGTCCTCTTAAACGAGCCACTATTGCATCCATGTTTCACGAAAGAGAAAAAATTTCGAATTATTCCGGCGCATCCACCAAAAACGCAGCGACACCGTTTCTACTTTCCGAGGCATCATTTCTACTTTCGCTTCTTAGATTTGAATCTTGTTTTTCTATTGATCCACACTTGCTGCCTGTTCCATATTTAAAATCCAGCACGCCGACGTGCATGCCGAAAATTTGTTCGTTACCGTAAAAAGAGATGTCTCGGAGAAAAAGTATGTAGGGTTAGTCGAGTCTCCGCTACCTGTCGCAATTAGCAGCAGGTGTCAAGATACGCGGATTTGATCTGACAGCCGTTACATATTCGTGCATTTAGCAGTCGAGTTTAACAGAATGCAGTGCCAGCACTTTGGGGAAGCCGCAGCGGTAATGATGTAGTGTGCGGTCGGGCCCGAGGTGATGGCAGGAACTGTGATATTCAGCAACCGGGAGGAGTTCTCACAATGTTGTTAAAAGATGTAAATTTGGAGGTTGTGTATATGCGTTGCGGAAATTCTTCTGGCTTGGGGCTCACCCTGCTTATTCTCCAAATAAGTTTGTAAATATTTCAACTTTCTAATAACGTATTGTAACTTGTTCGAGTTCCACATAAATTTTATTTATGCTAACACAAACACATGTTTACGAATAAGACGCACTCCGCGCCCTTATTTCCATACCACTCAGCATCACTGTTCGAGCAAAAACCTTTTTTAACGCCATTCTCTCCACATCAAAACACCACACGTCAAAATTTACAAATACAAAAAACGTTTCGGCTGCATCAGTGCGGACAAGCATTATAATCAAAGCAAAAGTTTTGTTTCATTTCATTTTTGCCCAATGGCTTGTTCCGTTGCGCTATACGTGCACAACTTTTTTCACTATCGTTGGCGATTTTTTGTTTTCGCCGTGTATATTAATTAGTACGTTATGCGTGTCGTACACTAAAACCTAATTAAAATTTAACGATCTAACAGAGGAAACGCGCACACGAACATTTTGACGAATTCACTTCTGTTATATTTTCTGCTACATGGTAACCAATAAATTCTCGTTCATGTTAAATCGTTTCGACTTACTTATGCGCTCGTATATCCTTATAAAGGATGAAAAAATAAAAAATGAAAAGAATTTAGGTATTTCTAAACAATTTCTCGCCCACTATCACTCTCCATCTCTCTCTTTTTATGCAAAAGCAAATAAAAGTTTATCCAGATTTTCGTTAGATTTGATTGACACGACGTTTTCAACAAGTGACACAAAAAGGGACTAGTTCGTAATTTTTTGGTCAAATAACTTTCCAATGCATATTATAACTGTCATCAGTAAATAACCGAAACTGGAAAGAGGAAAATCGAAATAGGGTCCGGCGAAGATTCTCAAGTGGCGACCGTTTCTGAAATCTCCGCAATCAAAGACAAACATCGGGACGTTATATACAAATTTATAATCAAAGATCGAAATTTACTTTGCGGATAAAGAAGTTATCGTGGAAAATATTTTTATTGCCGTTGAAAGACAGCAGTCGATACGAAATTTACACAAACAGAGTTTTAATTTCGTCGACGTTTCGACACAGAAATAGCTTAATATATCTCGTCTGATTTTATTGTCGGAAAGTGATCCGCGGGGATAATAGCATTTGACTTAAGTTGTGTTGGATGATGTCTCCGGTGTTCGCAATATGTGCTTATGTCTTGTGACGTTTAGATATCTCAATTTGAAACAGACGGCGAACACGTAATTCCTTGTCATAAGCTAAATGCTCTCGTCTTATTAATAAAGTAATCAATACTCCAATAGTGTTCTGACTTCGAACGGATTCTAAATATTTACATACCGACTACAATCTGACTATGTACTTTGCAGTAATTGTGTTTGAACAACTGTGTCTAGTGCATGCGCCCGAGATGAGCTTATAACAAATTAAAAAATATCATACTTTGCGCTATGCCGATTTGTGAAAGTAAGGACGAACTCGAAGTGAGCGAAACCGGTCGATGTTTCTAGAGTTTTGCGGTTAAGCCGAGAGGCGAGAATAAAGCGTAGCAAATGAACGAGTTGCTTGTTTCATTAAAAATAATTAATGAGGGATTTGATTATTTATTTATAGAAACGTGGATGTAAACGTAGTCGTAATTTAACAATAATGTCACCCGCACGTAATGTTTGATTAATAAACTGTTTGTCGTTTCGCACGAGCTTCACTATAGGCCGGTAATTACGGCTAGCGCCTTGTTAAATAGCCGAAATGTCGGACTCGTTTTCGGCGGCAGATTTCGTAAAAATGTTTTACAAACCTGCAGGATGAAATCAATAAAAGGAAATGGGTTTTTGAGGCACTTGTTTCAGACTATTATTTTATCTTGCAATGTTTACTGAAGCCGAGCCACCACACTGCAATCACCATTTCCCCCGTGAATGGAGAGTCCTCGAGTAAGAGTCAATCCGCAATCGGCCTAAGGGTAGATAGTATTCAACCTCCCTCGTTTTCTTTTTTGGACTAGACGCAAACAATACCGTCGTTATTGCTTGCTAAATGGATTACGAAATTTATTTTCGAGTAAATTTTGTTATTCCTGTAAATAAACGTTAGCCACTTAAACGGTTCCGAATTCTACACTATCCGGTATTGCCACTATTCATCAGACCGTTACAAGGAACACAATGCCCGTTAATTTCTCTTTACACTTTATTGTTTGTCTTGCTATTATATTTACTTGTAGAGGTTAGGCTCGTTATAAGGGTACACGGACGCGTCCCCGCGAGTTACAAAAACCCTAATGAGGAAATAATAGACAAAACTATTTGCCTTTATTCCACCAACAATTAATTAAATTCATCAAAACGACAACCCCAAATAATTAACTATTTTACATCAAACAGCACCAACATTCGTTCGATTCTCTATTGTGTTCCATGAATTTGCACAGATCGTAAATTTTTGTTATATTTTTTGAGTCTACAAAAACAATCCATCATATTATACTCGAATGTAAAGTTATTAAATTTCAGCTTTCTGATTACTTCGGTCGGAACTCAGAAATAGATTTCCCGGGATTTCTTCTGCAAAACTTACCGAGTGGTTTGTTACATAAGAATGAAGCTATTTTCCTTAATTGCACAATTCTCCGATGTAATATTACTTTAACTTGCAGCCACTATTATTCCCATTCTTAATTCGCGACTTAGACAAACGGAACGGCCTGCGTTCTCATCACAATTTCAAATCTTCTCCTACTCGTTTTTCTATAAACGGCACATTAGGCGATTTGAATTCGACATGGTGTTTCGGAACAATCAGACTGCTTCAAATTAGCCCCAAAATCGTACCAATTACAATTTTCATCACTTTTCCTTATCAAAATCGACTCTCGTTTTCGATTAAAAATTGCAACTAGTAAATGTACGAATCGATCTGCGCAGCTCTCTATTAACACAAAAGCGGTGAGTCGGTTAAACAATACCAGAATTAACAATGTTAAACGAATCGTTACATTTGTTAGATCAACCAAGTGACGATCACTAATTAGAGTTAACGATCAGGAAACATGAAGTTAGCTAACGGCAACGACTATACCCGTTTACGTTATTTACGTTTCTAATAAACGTTTGAAAACTGTAAATCATTTGTATGGACGTGGATATTAGAAGGTTACGATTATTGTGTGGCGTAATACTCTATTATGGTAAATAATAGCTAATTTCGATATTGTAATTGAGGGCGTTCACCCTCATTACGCCGAAATGGTAGGGTTTTCGCATCAACTTGAGATGCAACATGTGCAACCTACCGACCGATCAAATTATCGATCCATCACGGAAATTCCATTTCGATAAACAGAACTGACGTCCTCTTATTTTTCTAATATCGAAATGACCGAATTTAGATTTGGGGCTACGTTTCCATTTCGAAGAAAAAACAATTTTCTGTATTACGAAATATCGCAGACGAAAAATTGCGTAGAGAAGAGACGTTTAATTGAAGTATAAGCTACTGGTAGTTGGAGAAAATTTAATGTTACTCTTGTTCCGGACACAGTTTTGATTTACGATTGTTAACTTTATTTTCTTATGAACACCATATTGAATTTTCGTGTAATTCGATGGCCGCAATTTTTCTCTTTGTCGTGATGTATGAGTGTCATAAATTTAAAATGAATGCGATATTGCAGCGAAACGTTTTTGAATGAAAACAAGCAAATTGACTTACGATGAATTAATAAACTGTTGTCTTAAGTTGAATAGCGTTTGTCGGTTTTTTGAAAACGTGGCCAATCGGAGCGAGAATTAACATAATGAATAATGCACAGCGTTTGTGGGTTATGGTGGATCGAACACGATCGTGTAGCTTGATTTGATTGCTACGGTGCATTACGTTGCAATTAGAAGATATAGTAACTATCAAGCGCCTCCAGGAATATATGAAAGTCTGATTGTGGCTGAGGGTCGGGTTGCGGCTTCGGATTAGTTAGTCTCGAATTGGCATACATATTTATTTATTTATCTCGAACGAACTTTATTTAAAACACATTCCTCATCAGTTTTGCTCAGGTTTATATTGGTTCAGAGATGTAACATCTGTTCTTTTGAACTTCTGTTGTAACGTCAGATGGCGGATGCGCAGCTAATCTGCATTACATGACGCGATCATGTTGGCTCGTGTCCAACGTCTATCTACTTGGTGTCTCGAAAATATAAGTTTATTCCCTCGCTTACATATATTATATTTTCAGGTCGCTTGGATACACATAGACCGACAAATGATTTTGACAATTCACCGTCACGTCATATCCAGAGTGCCGCGATTCAGCGTGTCCCACGATAATGCCAAGACGTGGCTTCTGCACGTCAGTAGCGTACAAAAAGAAGACCGGGGTTACTACATGTGCCAAGTTAACACAAATCCCATGATTAGCCAAGTAGGATATCTGCAAGTAGTGGGTAAGTCGCCGCCGCAAAAACGGCACACTGCGTTCTTACGCTTAATTAAATTACGTTTCGCGCGCGAATATTTTTTTCACAAAAGCATTTTTGCCTTTTTCCGACGGCGCGTATCGGGGCACATTGATCCAAACAACTTAATTAATCCGTGGCTGTAATTAACCAAATGGGAGTCCTACCTTGACGAACGCCGTGAAGCGTAATTAAATGCGTTTGCCGGTTTCGCAGGAAGTGACCGCATCTCTTTATTTTTTCGTTCCGATGCAGATTTCAAAAAACGAAAGCGGCCGCCGGATGCCGCATGTCTCGAGGCCCTTCCGTACGTAACCAATTCGAATTGATTTTTTAATAGTCCCGACATTTATTATGGCGAAATGTGCGAGGGTTTTAACACAAAGATAAAAGCTTAGAGCTAAATGAGGAGATAAAAAGGGGCATCACTCTAGCGAAATTGATTTCACGCACGTTACCCAATTGAAAATAAATGAGTGTTTTAATTCCATCGCATTCTTATTACAGTTCCTCCGAATATCATTGATGCAGAAAGCACGCAATCCACGGTAGCCGTTCGTGAAAACCAGAATATAAGCTTGACGTGCAAGGCGGACGGTTTTCCCACGCCTAAAATCATGTGGAGAAGAGAGGATAGTCAAGCTATATCCGTCGAACGTCGTAAGAAAGGTAAGCTGCCAACTAAATGGATATTTTGATTACCGCCGGTCTTAATTAGAACTCAATTTATTTACAGCATGCTTGGTCAGATTTCGAAAATTGGAAAAACGGGAAAGATTGCTATGTCTGCTTGTAAACAATTACAGGGCACAAACGACGACAATCTTTTCAGCTATTTATTGTTTCAGCTTGTAAAAGCGGTCGCGCTACGCAAGCCGTAAATCTACGACTGCTGGCATTTGTAATTTGAAAATTTATTTTATTTCCATTATTTTTCTGTAACGTTTAATGCATAGCAAATTTCCACTACACTACGGGCGAAATATAAGTTTGCGCCTTACGACAGCCACTTCTAATAACGAGGGCACATCTCTCTCCGCTTTATAAAAACCTACTCCCAAGGAACCACACAGGTTGATATTTATTTATACTGCAAATCCAATTTTCGGCAGTGTAGTTTTTTCTTTACATAACCAAACACCCGGAGCGAACGAAGCTCCACACCGCCTTATCTATCTAAAATATACAAAAATTGATACGCAATCATCAAATTAAGTTTCTTAAATAAGGCGAACGAAGCTCGCGACTTCGTGTTAAATCCAACCCAGAAAATTTAGCGAGGAATTTCGTGTAAGACACCTGCGCACTCATTTATTAATACGAATGTCAAGCATTAAAAAAGCTTCATTTACGCAAAGATGTTGCAAGATGGATGCACCAATTCTTTGTAGGTTTTACCGCTTACGCAAATAAAAGAAGCATTTTTCTTTGCGGTCTGTTTCGTGTAATGAACCTTCATTCTAAATAATTAACACATATCGTTTGATATTTGATAGTTTGTTGTAGCATTTTGGATGCGACGTTTAAGTGGGTATTTTAATTTTATTACACCGCAAGATTGGATTACAATTTGTGACACGGTCGGGTGTTGACAAAAGGCAACCTCCTCAAACAAAACGTTCTCTTTTACGAGTATTATGATATAGTTACTCCTCAAAATTTACCAACCCAATCTAAAGCACAATTGCCTGATACGTTTCAACTACCACCTTAGAGGGTTTACTTAATTAATGCGGTGTGGCAACTTCTATGTTACTAACGTGGTTTAATTTATGTAGTGGATAACTCGCAGGGTTAATGTGCGAAGTCTCCGTGATGTATATTCACTTAAAAAAGCTTGTTGTTTTGTGTATTAATCTACAGTTTAAACGAAACACTTTTTTCAGCGGGAAAAAGCAAAACGTTTTGAAAAAAAAAAGAAAAAGCAACGAGTCGTAAAACATTGTTTTCTTTATACCTGCGTTCGTAATAAGACAAAATCGACACATTCGTATCCTGTAGAAACTTTGCTTGGGTCCGATCGAAGCGAAAATTCTATCCTCGAGCAGTCAAGTGATGATCTTGAAAATTCCGAGACGATCAAGCTTTTTGAAACGCAAACACAATAAAATGATGTTTCGCGAAAATACGTCCCACGTTTAAAAAGAGGTTCATTTTGTGTAAATAAAATCTTAATACTATCTAATTTCTAATAAAATTTGACTTCAATTTTAAGTTCTATTCGCAATTTCGTTTCCTTTAGCAGCCTAGGAAGTAAATTAAACGCCGTATTAAGCCAAAAGACGCTGATAAAGTAAGTCGCTTTGAAATTCACTCTGGGTAATTTTAATATAATTTCTGTGAAGATTGTTCCTGATATCACACTAAATATGATTTTAACATTTGACTCGAATAGGTTGTTTTGTTTTCGCCTTCGCTACTCCACTTTACTACATATAGAATAATAAAATTACATAAACGACTGCCAAAGCGATAAATCCGTAACGTAACATAAACCTCTAAGTAAACGTCGCGCAGTGAATTGAAATCGCCGTGTACTTACTCTCTACTGCAAAGATACCATATTTTCAGAAACAATAAAAAAGTTAACAAAAAATAACCCGTAAAAGACACACAACAACTGATACAGGGCAAGCTGATAAACGAGAGCAAAAGGCTCTCGAGAGTGTCGTTTCGTTCGTAGGTCGTCCGCGCACAGAATGTCAACTTAGCAAGAACCACATAAATCTGAAATGGTTTACCAACGCCGCGATTTAATCGAATTGCTTAATATTGACAACGCGTGGTAAATTCCTATGCGAAGGAGTAGTTCACCGTTTCGAATTCCATTAGACAGTTCCACTAGATTAATTAAAAGAGTCCCCAGTTAAACCCTACACGTGTCTTTTAGATATTTTATTTAGACCATTACTCCCATTAAGACCTCGGGTGTCACAATCACTTCCCCGTTTGTTCGGAAGCCCGCCGGGCGACAGTTTTTAACCGTCCTCTCTCCCTTACGTAAACGCGTTACGTTATGCAAGCAACACGTCACCACGTAACACAAACAACTCGACTCATCACTACCTGTATGCAACATATTAAAAATGACCATTAATCTATTTAATAATCCACCATTTCATCAATAGTTAATAATTGGGGTCTTACTACGGTATCACTAATGACTCCTATATGTATGTTTAATAAATTTATTAATTAGCGAATGATATAACTACATAAATTAGAGTAACACGTGACAGATAACAGCCCCATAAATAACACTCTTTTTGCCAAAACAAATAAGAAAAGCGATAACAACATGTGAATATTTTCCCAGATTTCTACTTCAATCAGGCAGAAGCCCCTCGGGTATTCGTTACCACCATTACGGCCTAGACCCAATTTGTCGTGTTTCTCTTAAAAAATTCTTTATACAAACGCAATATCTCCGAATAAAATTATTGATACGGATCCATTAGGAAGTTTACAACACCCCAGGGTACTCAATGATATTCTCAACGACCTCTCTTAATAACTTCATCACTACCATTCCCACACTTCGGACCTATCTCACAAACTATCCCTAATGCCTATACATCTTTTTTCGACATGTTGTAATAAGGGACAACGGTCTAAATGACACATCTTTCCTCGAAACTGGACACGTTGACAATTAATTACTCAACTTCCTACTCATTTTATTTACATTATTCAAACGCCATTTTGTTCGAAGGGAGTTCTGTCCGGGTCGACGAATTTAAGTTTGCATAGTTTTTCAACATGTCGAGATCGCACATTGGCGGCTGCTAATATTATCTGACGTTTCGTCTACTTTACTTTCTTCCGAGTTTAACAACTTTTGTTAATCTTTTCGACGCGGAAGTTTTCCTCAACAGACGAGTTATGATAGCCACAGAACGGTCAGATAAAAAGTATAAATAAAGGAAGCAATTAACGAATTTTTAACGAGAAAGCAACAACTCGTCGTTGAAACTTTTGAAATTAGGGGCAACTCAAAAGGGATCGATTAACGACCCAAAGTATTTTGCTGTATTTTGTTTGCGAAAATAGTTCTTGCTACCAGAACTAGCTTTGTCATTTAAAGCTCGCGGTTTCAACTCGTTGACTTTTAATATTGTCAGTAAAGATTAAAATCGCCTTAATTTACGTCTGTTCAAAATACAAGAACAAAGATTTTCGTAATTTCCAGCGGTGTCCAGTAAACGAATTGTTTTCCTCAAAAAAGGAGGTTAGACGTGTGTTCGTTCAAGTTATAACTAAGGAAAAATATGAACGTAACTAAGTTACGACATAAAAAAAGCAGTGTAGATAATTAATTTACCTTATTCGCCTCCGAAATATTGACAGAGACCTGTAGAGAGAACGTTTTGTTTAAATACAGACCAGGACAATACGGTTTTATTGTATGTAAACAAGTAAGAATCGTATTTGCGTTAAAATCACCCGACTGCATCTGGAGCTTTGAGTTTTATGCAAATTTAGATAAACTGTCACAACGTCTGTGTTGAATTCTTTATATTTTCGCAAAATAAGACCGCAGAAAGCAGGGAGATTATAAACGTTCTAAGACCGAGTGCAAGTTGGTAAATTGGTTGGCAGTAAATGTGAGCAGGATACAAGAGAGTAAAATTTAACCGAGAAGTGGAAACCGGTTTTTCCGGTTATAAAAATAATGCATTAGTGCTTTTTTAGTGACGCATGCGTTTTAAATAATTAAATCAAAGGAGTATAAAACGCGATGGAAGCCGCAAAAAGTTTTTTAATGTAACGAATTGACGACAGAAAGTATGTATAAAATTAATTAAAAAGGGTATACGGGGGAAAGTGTCCGAAGTCGGTGCATAACTGTGGGTGTCTTCCTTCGTAAAACGTAAAACGGAGAGCGATACAGTAGCTTTCAGAATCGTTTGCAACTTTATTGAGTTGCAGTAAAAATAATGCGATACTGACATCAGTAGCTCGCTACAATGGGGTGCTATCAGGTGCTGGGGTGCGAAGCTTACAACCCTGCCTGCCTGGCCTGTTAAATATTGCAACAGCTAATCTAGCACTGGGGTTGGTGGCAGCAAGCATGCGCATACTGAAATTCCATACCGCGATATCAGTTATGCAGATAGAACGTGAAAAGATGCTGCAAACACAACTTGGTTAATTGTCAAATTAAAAAAAAAATGCAACACAATAGGAAAAACTTAACGATGGTGGTTTGTTTTTCATAACGATGGGAAAACGAAACGGATCACGTGAGCAGCACTTGGGTAATCTGCAACATTGCGGCATCAAATATATTCTAATTCCGTCGACAACGTTCCCGTATTAACATTTCAGGTTTCCATTCGTGTAATATTCTTGATTTATTTGCGAATATTCCTACAAAAATGATATGTTGCTATTATAACATCATCCTTTTATGGGATGGGATTAGTTTGTCTGCGCTCGACTGTGTTAGGATTAATATTATACTCGCCTTAATTAGTTTGATAAAATGCGACGTGCATTCACGCTCTCACGTACAATACCAGCTACAACTGAACTGTTTTACACGTTCTTCGTCATGCGAACATAACATGAGGAACAATGGCCAATGAAAATTAACATATGCTTTGAATATAATGTGCTAATTCCCGGAGGCTATCTTCAACTGCATAAAATTATGTTTAGCCACTTTAAAATTATGTAATTGCAATTTGCTTCACTGATGCAAAAAATTATCGCTTTGATAAACTATAAGCGACACTGTTTCAAACTACCGTGCGATATACCACCGAAAATATTTACGCAAACAACCCAAAAAGCGCCGCTCGCCCCTCGTCACTAAATTAAACAAATTATTTTCCCTTAACTGACACTAACCAAAAGTTTGAGCAAGTAACGAGGAATCGATGGGACGAGGTTAAACTTATAATTTTATAACCGGAATTAACAACATCGGGGAACAATAAATAACAAAATTCTTCCTGCTAAAACTTTCTTTCACTCTCTGTTCCCCTCGTTCATTTTAACTAAATGATAAAATCGTCACTCTGGTATTTAAAGAAGTAGATTTACTCAAGCAGTAGATCTTGGTATAACGTTAGCTCAACACATTGACAATTTCATTGCGTGCACATGTGAATCGAAGGAAACCAATCCGCAGATCATCATGAGGAATATGCGGCAGTTGTCGGGGATGGGTGTCCGCAAACTAAAAACGGCAGTGTGACTTCCCGTACACGACCAATTCGTACACACATGACATATTATATCTAACGGAGAAAATAAAACTGATCGCTTATTTGTGTACCGCTTGCCCGAACATTACTCAAAAATTGAAAAAATCCCCCGTTTTGATATATTCGTTTCATTAACGCAGCCTATTTCGACTGTTTACAAATTAAATATTACCAGAATATTAAATCTTAATCCGTGTAAAGTCTGGATTTGTTAACAAGCAGGAATTCCAAATATACAGTTTATGTTTATGCCGAAATACAATAATAATTTGAGGGTCTTTAATGAAACACAAAGAATTCGAGGAAATTGATGTGGGAGTAAAAATATGCGGTTAAGCATTAAATTAAAGCCGCCAAATCCTTTTGTCAAAGAACATCAGTTAAAATTAACTGAAAATACTTTACAACCGACATTTTTATTGTTCAAAAAGCTATTTCTAAGAAAACTTAAAGTTCTCTTGAAGGAACCTCGGAGAGAACGTTCTTGACTGTATTGTTTAACTTTAAAAATTGTGCTGGAATGATTTTCTTGTCTTAAGAAACCTTGCTTTGAGAAATATTTTACGTAGCTCGTGTTACGATGGGAAACTTATTAAGCATATTTTCCAGATGATCGTTTCAGTATCAAAATTCGGTTGATCCAATTGCAGCCTACGCCCCATTTAGACGGCTTTGCCTTTCAGGGTAACAGAAACAGTTTATTTATTAACTAACCACAGTCGTGTATTTATAATAATTCCCTGGTAATAAATCTCGTGGGGTTAAACGTTTATTATTACCGGGATATCGTCGACACGTTTGAATTGCTTTTAGACAAAATACGACACACAACAATGAATTATTACTTCCGCGATCCTCCAGCTATAGCTAAAAATTTAATCTCACGTACTCACCAAAAAGAAGCAATTTAATTATTCGAAACGTGCAATCCATAACCTGTGACCAAAACCCATGAAATTTTCATCTTAAAATAAAAAATTCAAGCGTGTTTTCCTTCCCAAATTTAGAATTTTCTATCAGTGCTTTGGAAAAAATTGCCTTAATGAATTTTAATACATGCACCCTTAGCTTAAAGAGTGCTTTAGGGAATTTTCCTTCAAATTTCGCGTCTATATATTTTATAACCCGACTTTTTAGACCGTCCCCGTGTGTTTTCGACCAAATTTCGATAAACGCTTCCCGATAAGCGTTTATCCGACTCAAACTCTTTCACATAATAATTATAAAAGTGACTTTTAAAAATATGACTACCGTAAAAATGTTGAAACACTTAACCAAATATATTTTTGTGGAATTTTATACAGCTGTGAAATTTTTGGATACAAATTTCGAAACATGCATTAGAATGTAGCATACATCTAACTACTTTTAACTACGATGGCTAGCGTAGCCGTAACCTCAATATTGTATCTAATGTACTTTTTACGACACTCTTTTCATGTTTGTAGAGAAGAATGAATACGTAATTGTGTTGTTTATTGCAATATTTATTTATTGCAGTGAACGTATACGACGGGGAGCAATTGAATCTCACTCGTATCAGCAGAACGGAAATGGGCGCCTATCTTTGCATAGCTACGAATGGAGTGCCGCCATCTGTAAGCAAACGTATCATCGTGGACGTTGAATGTAAGTAAATGTTGCATATTTCCTTAATAATTCGCAATTATTTACGTCGTAAAATTTTTATGGCCGAGTATTGAACGCATCCGAGCATTTATTGAAATGGGGACTGCGCCAGTAGGATGCGTCCAGTCGGTACGCCGTAAAATATTAAACGAAAAAATATTGTATTTTACAGAGAAAAAAAAATTGGTCTAAAGATATACAGAACTTCCGTTGTATCTGAACTTGACGTTTTAAATAAATTCACTTAGCACTTATGTCGGTAGGACTGGAAAGTTAATTTTTGGTTAACTAACCAGAATGATGATAAGTTCAAAACACGTGATTTCTGAAAAAACAAAGTTTTATTGCAGTTTTGATTTTTTTTTTTTCAAATTCTTTCAAAAATAAAACAATGTTGCTTAGGTCATTTTCAAAAAGACAACACCTCTATGTGAATTAATTCGGCAAAATTTTGAGATGACGTCATCAATTTTTTTTTCTTCGTGCCTCATGAAACGTCGTGCTTAGTTTACGCTCAGGAACTAAAAAACGATAAAAGAACTATTTCTAAAGTAAGTGTAAATATCGCGTAAATTTGTGTCAATAATGAATTTACTTTAAATTTCGTTTCTTACGAAGTCTTGGTAGGGGAAAAAAAGGGTAGATGGTGTTGTCGACGAAAGACGGCACAAGTCGCAAGATAAGCGCAACGTACTTACTTTTTGAGTACGCTATAAATCTCTTAAAATATGACTAATCCCTGTAAATTTAATCCGTGTTTATTGGAGTAAAAGGCAAGATTGAAAGAAGAGCTATATCGTAGGATCTAAATCACTTTGTCGTTTAAAATGAGCGCATAATTGTTTACTTAGAAATATTTAATATACAAAACGGGGATCAATCCGGCTATTAATTGAAAATTTTATGCCGAAAAAGCGATAGGCCGCCTTTCATCTAAAATGATTATGTAAGCTTGAACAAAAGGAAAGTAATATGCGATTTTATTGGCCGAAAAACGAGCGGGGTCGAATAATTTGCATTATATTGAAAATGTCGGATGATGGGTTTTTAGTGTTAATTGCCGAAGAAAATATGAAAGATTCGAGCGGGTTGCTATTGGGAAGGTAAAACAAGCAAATTTGGGTAAATACGAGATGCACTACCTAAATTGGCGTAGAACAAATATTTGTGCCTAAAATAAATGTTCAATATTGTAAACGAGGTAAAAACAAACTGAGCTTTATTTGTCAATTAACTGGGTTTATTTTTACGTTTGAGGATGTCTGAATGTAAAATGCGCCGAGTTATTTCCATGTCCTCCATCGTTTCGATTTGATCGATTGAGTTTCTAAGTGACAATAAAAGTTAAGTCGATTTTTCAATAGTAACATGAATAAAATAAATTTTCCGAAGGCGCATAAGTTTTAGTGATATATTTCTACTACGCCGTTATCAAATATCAATTTGTGTAATATAAGGCAAATTTACTATCCTATATTTCGCAGGAGGTCGAGTAGAAATTAGTTGAGGACCGAGGAAAATTTATAACCTTCTTTGCTTCACTAGATCGCTGATGCTACTTTAATACATTTGAAAAATATACAAAACATTAAGTTTTTACTCCAATTCAACATGTAATTTCAAATGTTCCATTTCGGCCCGCAAGAACAGGCAAAATTAGTACGGTACTTTGTAAAATAAATTGTTTTGTCTGCCGGAATGCCAGCTTGACTAATGAATATATGTTGGACTTGAGAAAAATTTTAAGTAAAGAAAATAATTTACCGACAAACTTTACTCTCTTATATTCGCACTCTTCTCTTCTCTTCAAGTTTAAGAACAAACCTAAACATTATTACAACGCTTGTCTTAAATCGACTGCAAATATTCAAACGACATTCTTGTCGAATTCGCAACATTAAAATCTCATTTATTCCGTTCTATTTTCACTATCGCCAAAGCGGCACACATTACAAACAATCACTTTATTTAAACGAAGAAAAAGAATCGATGCGATAAATATAGCCGGTCGGCTATTCTCCGATCTTAGGGAAAATCAAAACTCGACGATCTTAGCCGTGATTGCCCATTATGCGGTATGCTTACTTACCCCGCTATAATTTACTTGATAAAATACACCTGAGACCTACTCCTTAACACATAGGTAGTCCACTTTAACAGTCTAGAGGAGATGCAGACAGTCACGAAGAGGCGAAGCATAAATCTGTTGAATATTTACCCTCATTATGTTAAATGCAACATTCGGTCTGATGGCCCGGGAAACGTACTTAACCCCTAATATCCTAATTTATTCGTCACATTATTAAACATCAAACCGATATTATTTTATGGCGGCTTTATGTGTGCCGTCGCTGCTCGATATTTTTTTAATTTAACGAACAACCTAAATTGTCTTTCCGAAAAAGTTTCCATTTTTGACAGTTATTACTTTATATTGTCCCATAAATTGCTGCTATTCCCCCACATTAGCATTTCTCAAACACACTTACGCGCTATATAATATATAGGTCCGAAACCCGGCTCACGTACTTGCCCGAAATGTGAGTTGATAATCTAGAAAGAGCGATAAAAAATTAAAATTTCTATTAATGATAAATAAAGAAAAGCGATAGACTTGATAGACTTTGGTCGAACCTTCCGGTGTGAGGAGCAAAGTATATATCTATCCATCTTGGTGAGGAGAAACGTCAGATCAAATTACACGATGAGTGAGGCTACTGTCAATTTATAAATGAATTGATCGTGAACAAAATCTCGATAAAAGTTTCAACTTTCCTGCGCGTGGTAATAGACAATGGGCTTTCTTCTAAATGATTTTTATTTTAATGAGTACTGATTACAACACGTCGTTATATTTTTAAAGTGATAATTATAGGCGTTGCTTCTTTTTAATATTAAATGAGACAATCGAATAGTGAGTGGGAAAGAAGCCATTAAATTTTCAAACGTCGACATAAATGTGACTCCTGTCTACCTTATAATATCAGTGTGTATATAGTTGAAAACCACTTCGTTTAGTGTGATAGTAACAGTTGCTAGATAATGCTGGCGTTGTATATTCAATTTAACACATTGTGTATATTTTACTAAACGATGTCTTTATGGTGGCTAAGAGCGCCCGCATTTAAATGAAAAGTGAAATAGCTATGTAACGTTTTATCAAATATATGAAACTCCGAGTTTCACCTTTTTCGCAGTTTTACTATATCTAATATTTTCTAACATTAAAAAACATTTTACTATTTTAATTACAATTCTCGCACTATACTAAAGTCTAACAATAATAACAAAAACCTGAAAACTGTGATATTTTTACTTCCCGAGCGTAAGCAAAGGAAGTATTGTAATCGAGTCCGTCGGCCGACTCTCTACTTTTAAGTTTTCTCGATCTTTCATGACCCCTAGAATACGAAGAAATAGGTCTCCCATTTCCGTCTGTCTGTCCGTCTGTCTGTCTGTCCGTCTGTCCGTCTGTCCGTCTGTCCGTCTGTCCGTCTGTCCGTCTGTCCGTCTGTCCATCTCTCCGTCTGTCTGCCGTCCCGGATTTTTATTAGACAGATAATCTCCGAAAGTACTGGACCGATTGTTGTGAAATTTTGTACTTATATTAGGAATATCATGTAGAAGGTAAAACGCTAACCAAAATTTGTCTAATCATCCCCACCACTAATGCGATGACGTCATTTCAAAATTGTACATAGTAAATGGGTCTTAAATTGTATTAAATAACATAGTCCTACACATGTAGTTTACGACTCAGAATTCAGTTTTTACCCAAAACGTCCAGATTTTTGGAAAAAAAATCAAAATTATAAAACAACATTTTGCAATTTAATTTTGAATCTGCTAACCCGAATGTTTTGAAATGTTGCAGATGTTTTAAGGCTATAAAGAGCATCATAAATCTTTAGTCAAAATATATTTGGTTATCCCCTCCAAAAACTTGATGACGTCAGCTCAAAAGTTTGCCGAATAAATCCTATCTAAAATGTACAAAATATGATGCGTCTGTACTTGTGATATATCACTCCATTCATATTTTTTGGATTTGCATATACAGGGTGACTCAAAAAAATTAATGAATGCGCAAAAAAAATTTTACTGATTTACTCAGGAACTACAAAACCGAATGCTTTGAAATCTTAAAGATGTTTTAAAATTATCATAAGCATGGTAAATTTTTGATCAAAATGTATTTGGTCGTCCCTCCTAAAAAATTTATGACGTCACCACAAAATTTTGCTGAATAAATCCTATCTAAAATGTACAAAATATGGTGAGTTTCTTCTTGTGATTTATCATTCCATTCAAATTTTTTCGATTTGCATATACAGGGTGACTGAAAAAAAATAATGAATGCGTCAATTTATTTTATTGATTTAATCAGGAATTACAGAACCGAATGCTTTGAAATCTTGGAGATGTTTTAAAGTTATCATAAGCATGGTAAATTTTTTGTCAAAATGTATTTGCTCTTCCCCCCTAAAAAATTGATGACGTCACTCCAAAATTTTGCTGAATAAATCCTATCTAAAATGTACAAAATATGATGAGTCTGTACTTGTGATTTATCATTCCAATCATATTTTTTGGTTTTGCATATACAGGGTGACTCAAAAAAATTAATGAATGCATGAATTTATTTTATTGGTTGAATCAGGATTTACAGAACCGAATGCTTTGAAATCTTGGAGATGTTTTAAAGTTATTATAAGCATGGTAAATTTTTTATCAAAATGTATTTGCTCATCCCCCCTAAAAAATTGATGACGTCACCCCAAAATTTTGCTGAATAAATCCATCTAAAATGTACAAAATATGATGAGTACATTTGTGATTTATCATTCCATTCATATTTTTGGATTTGCATATACAAGTGACTCAAAAAAATTAATGAATGCGTGAATTTATTTTATCGATTTAATCAGGAATTACAAAACCGAATGCTTTGAAATCTTGGAGATATTTTAAAGTTATTATAAGCATGGTAAATTTTTTAT